AAGAATTCTGTTTTTCTCTTCCCTCTTTTCTCTCCAAAATTCAACCCTTTTGTGTCTTGTGAAACAACTTATTTGTAGATGAAGTTGACTACAATTTGGGAGGGAAATGGATAAGTTTTTTGAACTGTTTGGTTATACTGTTTTATTGCTTTTTAGATGGAGCTCTTATGTTCTAATTTTGTGCAAATATGGGACTGATATAGTGCAGGTTTGGACAGGGTTAGAGTCAGCATAGCAGGGCTATTTTGTATCAGTTTTGGAGTGGAGTGGCAGCTTGGTGGAGGGTTGGCTTTGTACAGGACAACAGACTGTTTTCGACATGGTTTTGGGCTAGTAGCAGTAGGCTTGGACTTGGCAGCATATTAGATTTTGGGGCTTTTCTGGACAACAACATTTGTAGCATGATACAAGTCTGGTTTTATGGACAAATTTATGCAGCTTGTAACAAAGACAAGGCATATTTGTGGACAGCATAATGGCAAAGTTTGAAGATTGAGTCAAAGGGAAAAGTTCAAACAAGACAAAGCTTAGAATTTGTAACTTGAAATTTTTAACTTAAAAATGCAGCCTTGTTGTTTACTTGAAAACTTGTAACAACTTGAATTATCTTGAATTGTGGTGAAAAGATGTCATGAAGTATGAAATTAACATGTATAAAAAACACTTAGAAAAATTTCTAAGTCTTGCAAAATTTAACTTTTCAAAATGACTTTTGACCATCTTGATTTCTTTATGATCAAATTTCATATTTTTGAATGTCTTGATGAAATGTGATTTTTGAAACTAAAATTTGATCAAAAAGTCAAAGTTTGACTTTTCAGTGCACAGTTAACTTTTTCATCAGTTGACCAAATTTCATCTATCAATCCTCTGATCTCGGGAGATGAATTAAAATGTGAGATTAGGTCAAAATGATGTACTTGAATCCTTGAGATCATGTTTCAGAACAATAAGTCATGTACTATGTCAAAAGTCAAGGATCAATCGTTCTTATTCAAAACCCTAATTTGGAGTCTCAGTGCTTCGGAGATGATTTTGCCTGATCAATTCCTTGAGAATCCTTGAGCATTGGAGATCCTTTGTGAGGAATGTCTTGAAAAAGATAGGGAAATTTTTTGGGTACAACATAATTCTATCTTTGAATTTATCTAATCTTCTTCTAGAAGTTGGTTTGCCACCTTTTTTTTTGCTGCTACCATTATATCGTTGAAGTCTTCTCCTAGAAGCCAACATCTATTTATTGACATAACAACTCTTTTTAATTCACCCCACAACTCATTATTTCCATATTCCCAGGGGCTAGCATAAATAGGATAGAAGAGAAAATCTCTACCATTCCCAGAGATATTCTTGCATGCATAAATAGTAAATGTTTTTCCAGCACCGTAATTTGAACAGTATCAGAATTCTAACCCATCAATATTCCTATGTGAATCCACGAACATGAGAGAAATCATGACAATCAAACCCTGGTTAATTAAAAGGCTTTATAAGTTTCCCTAGATCTATTCCAATTTCCATATTAACGGAAACATCTTGGTGACTTTCCCGTATGTATTACTTACAAACACGTTGAAAAGCTTTGTTCTGGACAACCTGGATGTATGCATGAACAATGCAGAGGATGCAAATGATATACAATGCAAATGCCATGTAAAGAACTGCAACAGGATCATATGTTCAAAGGTTCGACACCAAAACCAAAGGAACCAAGTACCAAGTGGATCATCATTTGTTCCTGTAAGAAAAAATCCCACCCCATCTCACGGGTGAAATCTGGTCAAGGTAAGGTCAAAAGATACACAGAGTCCTGAGTCAAATGGAAGGTGTATCACCATAGCAACAAATTTTCCTGACAATAGTGACCCCTAATAAGTATACCTCATCTATACGTGGCTCTCATGATCATGCTAGTAGGGTCTGCACCTAATAGGCGTCATGACTATCCACTATGGTCCAATGTGTTCCTAAATGTGTCACTCAGACCTGAGTATTGGGCCTTTTACCTCAAAGTAACACCCCACCCAACCTGAAAAACCAGAAAATCCAACACATCACAACATATATACAGAATAGTGGAAAGCAATAAAATACAAGGCATATAATAAATAAATAGCAAGTAAAGAATATAGACAAACACTCAGAGAAAAGAAACAAACAAAGCTAGGATTGACCCACTTAGGAAAGAATCCCGAGTGAAGTCGCCAAGCTGTCGCACTGTATATGCGAAAATGTAGCGGTAAAACTTTTAGACTAAGCCATTAATTGACTTAACTCATATCAGTAAAATTCTCCACTACACTTTATTATTTCTAAAGGGAAAATAGGAAAAGAGCGAATAAAGCCCAAAATAAAATAAAATAGAGATCAAGGTACCAGGTTCGATTATGCAAAGGGAAGATATTAGCACCCTAAGCATCTACGGTACTCCGCATGATCCACTTTTTTTTGTTCTAATCAGAAAGTGTGTTATCTAAAGGCTTACTTGCTAAACGGAATGAATGAATATTTACAAATAAAAGAAAATGTTTTTTTATTATTCCACCCACCGCGGTTGCGAACCTTTGTGCTTACATACCCCCTTTATGCAATAAGGGATTAAGGCACTCGTAGTTCTTCTAAAAAAGAACAACAGTTGATGTGTTGATTGATTTTAAAAGAAGAGACAAGTCATCATTTTTAAGGAGAAGACTCTTCTAATCATCCACAAGGTATAATAAATAAAGATTTGCACCAACATGAGGGAGTGTTTGAGAACACCTCTAGTTCTCAAGTGGAAAAGTCGACAACCATGGGGATAAAAGAATAACTTCTAGATTATAAATGAATCATGTTTAATCTTGGAAAAGGTTTTAAAGGATAAAAGGTGATCGAGTGCAAAAAAAGGTTTGAATGAGTTGAAGTGTTTTGTTAGCTTGAAAAAGGATTTGTGAATTGAATCGTAATAAAGTCCAGAAATGGAAGAAAGAGCAGGGTTCCAAAATGCACTACCTCACTAGTCCCCCATAAGACACAACTGCATACGATTCACATATTTATTTGTTAAGTGTTTTAAGTTTGATTAAGAAAAAGAAGTTTGAGAAAAAGATCTCTTGACAAAGTCAAGGTTTACTATGAAAGCGGTTAAAGTTTGAAAAGAAAGAAGTTTGGAAAAAGAAAGATGTTTTTGAAAGTGAAGAATGGGGTAGGAGATGAAGAGACTATCTTATGTACAAGAATCCAATACTTGACATAAATAAGTCAATACATTGTTCCCATCCCTTTGGACTAAAGTCACAAGCAAAGAAATAAGCCAAGAGTATACCAGGTATCATGTGAAAATTAATCACAAGAAAAAAGTGCATCAAGTGAAACTAAATCACAAGCAAAGAAAGTGCACCATGTAAGCTCAAAGTGTCAGATAAAGCTCAAAGTATCATCAAGATATTAGATAAGAATCTCTGCATTAGATAAAATACACAGATAGAACCAACAACACAGAGAAACTACCCAAAGTCTCGGATGAAATAAGAATCAAGTTCGAAGGAGTTAGAACAATGTATCGTGAAAATATGAAGTGAATGTTTAATCAATTAATTTAGAGTTGATTAATTTAATTGATTTAGTTAAGAAAAAAATATTAGTAAACTAATCCATTTTAATTAACTAAACAAGTAACTAAACCAACATCTAATTAATTGATCAAAGTGAAAAGATAAAGAAGGACGCAGGATGAAATGAAGAGAGAAGCCATTAGTTAAAAATTGATTAAATAAATTAATGAAGTGTAGAAAAATAGATTAGTAAGCTAATTCATTTTAACTAACAAGCACCAATAAATTAAAATAATAAAGAACTAATGGATTAAAATGAAAATAGAAATCAGAATTAGAATGGAATTGTAAGGAGAAAGGAACTTGAGAACTCTTGTAAGCTTGCACAAACCATAAACAAGTTAGTAATCATAAGTGAATTGAAAACCTAATGAAACTTGAATCAAATTGCATGAACAAATGAATATTTCTCAATTAAGAACCAAGAAAACAAGTTATTATTCAATGTAAATGGAAAAAATCAGCATTGCAATTATCATTTCAAACATCTCCGAATTCAAGTAAACTCAACGATAACCATGACCTCAATCCACAACAAAAACTGGAATAAAAAACTCAACTTATTTCTTAATTTCCAACATAAAAAACAAGTTTTAATCGCATAAAACAAACCCCGGGAAGCCATTACGCATATGAAACAAGGCTCGAAAAGATCACCTCAAACATATTTAACATAAATGGAAACAACAAAGTATTGCCACCCGAATTAAGCTTCCGAATTCAAATCGAATTGTTAAACAAACACCAGTCAAATCTCCTTACAATTATCTCAAACAACATGACAACATTTAAGCTTCACTCAACACGAGAACAAAACATTGAAACAAAGTCTTCTCCTTCAAAATTTTCAACAAAAACAAACAAGTAAATCAAAGAGGAATTTCAAACCACAAAAGGGGAACAAGAACCAATAACTCATGCTCTTACTCAATTCAAATTCAATATATGAAAACTCTGAGCTTACAAAAGATCAAAACGCCAAAACCATTGTCAAGGCAGCCATGAACAAACTTTATAACACTCAATGACAAACATCTCAAACAGATGAAGCATGAACAAAACATGTAACAATGCCAAAAACAATTTTTCTCATTTAAATTCCAACCAAACGACACACAACACATCAACAAAAACTCAATCAATCAAAGTATCATAACATAACAAAAACTTTGACTCAAGAATCAATCCATCACAAGTATTGTCATTAAAACATCACTGAAAGTTAACAAAGATAAAATATGGTATTATACTCAAACGATAAAACACCACATTCCAAACGGTTTTCAAACTTTGTCACCATAGTATATAATAATTTGATTCAAACAAAACACTAACATCATCTACGATTTCTTCTCAGAATTTCAACGTAATAATTTTTGCACAGCATCACAATCAAGCTAACAACTATCACACAGTTTCAACATAATTATCAAAAATATCACACACCTCAATCAACAACATCACAGTTATAGAACCAAATAATAGGGTATCAAATTTACTGAATTGAAGAGATGTCGTCGAGAGCTTTGAATCACGACAAAAGGAGCATTTTTGAGCGAACAGAGTTTGAGCTGAGCTTGAATAGAGGGAAATTGGCGGTTCTGTTTTGTGAGTTGTTGCTGAAGACGCTGATAAAGATGAACATGGGTGAACTACTGGATGATGTTTGGTTGGAGGAAAGGGTGTCGTGCGAGCATTACAGAGAATCCAGAGGATGGATCCCAGTGGATCCATGATGTAGAAGAACAGGGAAGGCTGGAATCAGAGGGTGTATGTTGCAGTAATGGTGGAGGTGGAAAGTAGTAGGACGGAGGTGAAGGAAAGTGTTATGAAGGGAATGAGTTTGAGGGGAAGAGAGCAAAAGAGTTTATTTTGGAATTTACAATCGTCTCCGCCTCTGCGTTTTTTGGATGAAAGCTGCTACCCCTTTAGAAGACACACATCTCTATCTATTTATAATACTAATTCTAGGGTTAGCTAAATTTACAATGGCCAAAAAAACCTTTATTGACAAAATTAACATAAAAATATGAAAGTATAAAAATTAATGCAATTTAAAACAATTTTCTTTTAATTTTTATGAATAAAAAAGGAGATCTAAAATGACTAAAAACGATTAAAAAATAGATACTTATTTAATATAAAAAATGAAATGAACATATTAAAATAAACTACAAATCTCAAAGATTAATAAAACAATTCTCAAATTCTCAAAATCAAAATAAAATGAGAATAAAAATATCAGGCTGAACAAACGCTAACGATTAAGAACGAGATTGTAAATTATACTGAAAAAATAAAGCGAGCACACCGTCATGATCTACACGAAACACAGATTCATAAAACAGTCAGTAAAAGATGAAAACTTGAAATATTTTCCCGCTAATTTTCTGTACATTGTCGAATCTCTTTTAACAGTTTGTCTGTAAAACCGAAATATCAATATTATTGACATATAAACAACTTGGTGCAACGCATGAAGCAGGTAAAGAGATAAAAATGCATGAAGAGTGAAATATCAGGTATTTTTCAACTATAAAACGATGCAAATGTTGATTTAAACTGACTTTTGGTCGACTTACACACGACTAATGATGCAAATTAGACGAATGAAGATGTTTATTAAAGATTGTGACCAGATGAAGCAAATTATGACATGTTAATGCGACTAAAAAATTTAGGGGCGAATTTAGGGTGCAACAATTGTTTCTTCTGATAAATATTGCAAAGCTGGAGAAATGGAAGCTAAGATTTCATGATCCTTACTAGATGTTTCATCAAACCTATGGGCCCTCTTTTTTTTGGTTAAGCTGGTCAAACTAATTGAGACTCCACACCTTAGGTTCATTGCTGATCTTCATATTCTACGGGATTTCATATATGTTCCCCTTGTTCAGCTTTAGACCCCTGATCAAATTCCCTACACCCTCTCATCAATTTGTTTCTTCATGTTGTTCCTTTTAGTACCACATGTGACTCTCTTGTTTTTTTCTTTCACTATGCCACATGGTCCAATAATCAAAACCACACCATAATTTCTTTTTTTTCTTTTTCTGAATTCCATCTCTTTCCTCCATGTGTTGAGACTGTAGTCGTTCTTTCCCCCACCAGGACTCAAAAGTTCATTTTGAATTTCATTAATATCCTTGTTGCTAATCTCTTTCTCCTTAATAATGATATCATCATTATCCTCATCAAGCGTAATAAAATATGATCCCATAATTTGCTCCTTTGCATTGATTGCAGATAACTCACATTTTATGAGTTATTACAAGACTTAATACTTGAATCTATCTTTCTATTTTCATCATTTATCATTTTAATTAATTTCAACTTATTGTTTTAAGAGTAGTTTATAAATAACACAATAGGTGCTCTCTGTTGTTAGTTTTATGTGTTTGTTTCTTGTGTAGGGTTAGCTTCTGATGAGGTCTGGCACATCAGCCTGGGTCAGTAACTTGTACCCAAAGGAAAGTTGAAATTTGGAAGCAACTGAGAAAAAGAAGAAACATCATCTATAGTCATATGGCACGCGTGGAAACAATCTGCATTTGGAAGGAGAGAAGATGTGAAAAGATAAGAATTAGGTGCTTGAAGAAAAATTCAATACCATAGTACGTCCACTAATGTGCCACATTGCTACAAGGACAACTCCACATGTATGCTTGTGCCATCAGACTGCCACACTACACCTTGTCCCCTAATGTTGTATGTACATGATTCTACTATTGTATAACAGGAGGAAATGGAGGGAATAATGCTGATTTTCTTTGGGCCTGATTTGAAAATTATCCTTAAGACCAAGATCCAAGATAATGCACAAAACCATAGCTGGAGCAACTATAAAATTAGTTCTTGAAGAAATGAATAAGAGTTCAACAATTGGAGAAACAAAACATACTTAGAAAAACCAATGAAGAGAGTGAGTTGAATGAGAATGGAGAATCTTTTTCTCATCCCTTCAAGTGCCTAATGTTGATACTTGGAATGATAGAAGTCGTCTATTGGTGACTAACTTGAAATTTTGGCAATGTAATAACAAAAGTCAAGACTAATGTCTCAACAACACACAATGTCATGACAAATGTTATAACATCTTCTGACAGAAAAACATAGTTGTTAAAACCATAAAGATTTTGCAGAAAATTAAATTGTAGAAACTTAAATAACACAATCAATTGTTAACCCAGTTTGGTGCAACTTCACCTACTGTGAAGGTTACCAAGCTAGGAAGGAAATCCCCTATTAGTAATCAATTTGAAGGCTAAACAATCCCAGTTTATAACTTCTCACTTAATCCCTACCCAGTGCAACTTCTACCTAAGAACCTCCTAGATAAGAGAACCCATCTCACTCCCTATACCAAAGTGATATCAAACAATCCCAATCCCAGGGAATGTCTCAAGAAACCAAAAAGAAGATTACTCTTCCAATACCAAAATACTTAGTTTTTCTTAAAAGCTTAACTAAGAACAATACTAACCTTTTTGCTTAAAAGCATAGAGGAGAAGAATAACTTGATATACAAGTAGCAATCAATCAACTCAATGCATCAAAAGATACACGAGGATATACAAAGAACACATGAAAAACCTAATGAACTCTCAAACCCTAAACCCTTATTTTTGCACACTTAATTTACAAAAAGAATGCTTAAAAACTAGGTCTTAGACGTCCCCTTAAATAGACTCTTGAATTGGGCTTGGACTCTTAAATCAAATCCAATCAGTAGCTCCAAATCCCTGCATAATCTTCTCCACAGAAATATAAGCAAATATCATTAATGTTTCCTTAAAAGTCTCAAAGATCCTTTTTATGAAGTTAATCAAATTTGCACTTGTTCCTAAATAATTTTCCTGACCTGCGCATAATAATGAGGAATATCCAAAAGGATCTCATCAAATCAAATTAAACATGGGCGCAAGATATAAACAACACCAGTGCCTGTTGTACACGGACCATGATGTCACAACATCTGTCTTGGACATCTAGTTTAAAAACTCAAAACAGTTGAACTGTCATGACAGTTGATGAACATGTTATAACATCTTGCTCAACATCTGTTTAGAACCATGTGTTTACCAAAATTTAGCCAATCATAAAATCATGGAACTAACATAACCCTTGCAAGAAGATGAAGAAGTTGCTTTTAGGTTGTTATTTCTTCATCACTATGTGTTTGAGAATGATTAGCTTAAGAACCAATATTGTTGTATGTACTAATATCATTATGAGATAAACCTTTTATGTTGAGGAATGAAAATTTAAGATGATAAAGTCTTTTATGTTAATTGATGTGTTATTAATGCTTTATTTTATCATGTATTAAACTATTATAAATATGCTTCTTTGATTGATCAACATGGGAAAAGATGCAAGCTTATTGTTGTGAAAGATCAAACAACAACAAAAATTCATGGTAAAAGTGATTGAAAATGGTAGGATAGATATATTCACTATATTAAATACTTTATAGATAAAGAGTTATAATCATAAAGGGAATTCATGGTAAAACTAGACATGCATTAGAGTTACAAGTGAGGCTTGGAGATTATCCCTTTGCCTTGTTGTATATGCTCTTAATGTTGTAGAAATACACCATTATATTACTTTATGACCTTTCCTGGCATGACACAACATATCATGTATGCATAAAATACAAGTTCTATTAATGGATCATTTCCCAACACACTCTCTATTAGTGAATTCACTTACCTTCTTGGCACTGTTTTCGACTGTGTTTGCTACTAAACTGAACATGTGACAACCATAAACTATTTTTATTTTGCTCATGTTCCTTTAAAAAATATAGTTCCTTAAAAATCAGTCTAAGTTATTTTCCACTCCCTGTAGGTTAGACATCCTTACTATTCTATCACTTTCCACATAAAACATACATGTATACATGCATGTGACGTCGCACATTTTCAACCAAAAATTTATCTTCTTCCCATCGGGGATCTATTGTTGATGGTCGTGGATCCACCATTGAAAGCTTTGGTTTCATCAACAATTTTGTTTTTACGTTGCATTCTTATCTTTTGAACCACAGTCCAAGGTCCTATATTTTCAGAAGTATTATTTTCCTTGGCACCTGCACTTGATTCTCCATTTTTTCATCTGAATCATTCCTTATCTTAGCCACTTCTCTTTTTTTCCCTCATCTCTTTTTTATCGCCAAATATACCACAAGTTAGACATAGTAGATGAAGTCCTTCATACTCCAACTTATAGTTCCTTCCTTTGATAGAAAACATCATTGTTGTACCCCAAAATTTTCCCTCCCATATTCTTCAAATTTTGTCAAGAATCATCTTCAAATGGTTCAAAAATTGCTCAAGGATTGCACAGTCCAAATGCCTCCTAAGCCAGTCAAAATTAGGGTTTTGGTTCTTTCAAGGAATTGGAGATTTTCAATGGCTCAATCAGGTCTAATAGGCCTATATACATTGTCAAGCATCTACATGTCAAGTTTCAAGACTCACAATCCCAAGTTGCACAGTCAAAAGCTTCATTTGACCTACACTCAACTGCAGGGGTAAAATGGTCATTTTGCAGTCAAAAGTCAGAATTTTTGGTCAACATCTTATTTTGAGGCCACAATCATCATTTGATCAAGTCTTGATCATGATTCCACAAGCATGGCTCAAAAATCATCAAAGATGCAAAAGTTACTATTTTTGGACAGTAGAAAAGTCAACTATATCTTGACCAGAGCATAACTTTTTCATGGT